GAAATGTCACCCATCCCAAGATTTCTCTTGGATGAGCATGCTTAACTCCAAAGTTTCTTGATAAAATTTCAACCATTACACCAAAAGGCTCCTCGATGTTTAAGAGATTAACTTTTTTTACTTAAGAGATTTCATATTGTATGGTTAATGTATTTAATCTTTATAATTTAATTATATTCAATTGTTGATTAGGGTATTGCACTACAGAGAAATTGATACTTATAATCATATATGCAATGTGGAAATTAAAATGTATGTTAGTTGGAACTTGAATTAATTGTATGAGTTGGATAGGAGATTGTGTAAATCAGTAATTAATGATTGGGTTTGGTTTAGATGCTCTATACATACAAGAAGACATGAGGTATCTAACTTTGTGAGTTCGCATGATGACAAGGTAAGATATATAATTTTGTTAATATAATAGGTTAATCTAATTGTGTATAGTTGTATATGAGTAAATTTAATTAGTTATGTATAATATTGGTTTTTGCATTATAAATTTGTAATTAACATAAAATTATGATTTATGTAGCCATGTCATTTGTAATTTATCATATATTATGATCATATTATTTTATGTGATTATGTATAAGTCTATTAGGTTGTACCTTATAGTATATATTCATACAATCATACATGCATATATGTTGATACACCTAAGAATTAATCAATTATATTGAATTGCTTACATATGCGTGTTTCTGTAATAAACAAGTGCCACACAACTTGAAATGAAAAATGCAATAATTAGAAAAGCTTGAAATGTGTCATGTTAAGTGATAGATGAATGAGGCAATGTGACCCTAATGGGCAGTGCGACCCAATAAAGACAATGTGACATCGATATGAAATGAACTATATGGGGTATGATATGAAGCCTACAAATGATAGCAATTGTGTGATCTCAGGAGCCTATGGACTATGATATAAAAAGTATGGGTGATAAATGCATTGCGACTTCATCATGAGCCTACGGGTTGTAAACCTATACTTTATCATGTTGACATGACACTTTCTAAGGTTGGAAAAAGAAAGTTATTTGATGAACTAAAATATATAAGGATGAATATATTTGGCATGGTTAATGATGTTGGCAGTATGTGACATGTGGTGATGATATTGACATTAAGAGACATGGTCAGAAGTTTGGTTCATATGAGTATAATTTACATGCTACATTATTTTTACTTATGAAACAATTTTATATTGTGTGTATTTCATTTTAAATGATTACATGTAGTTCTTACTTTCACTTATTGATACACAATAAATATTGTGTTTCAAATAATTGAATATGATATTAGAATTGCATATATTTATGAGTATCATAACTCACCAGATTTTATTATGTTTATTATTATAGGAAAGTACAGGGATAAGGTGGATGCTAACTAGATTTGAAAAAATCTTAAAATTATGTTTGATTTTATGTTTGTATAAGATGTGTCATGAGCAGAGAGATACATGAATTGTTGTTATGAAAATACTTTTAGGTGGTTAGTTGCTATGTAATTATATACAGATAAAGTGAACAAAGAAAACTGAATGTTTTCATTTTAAGTTGCATGAAGATAGTTTAAAAGAATTATGTTATGAATGTTTAGAAATCATATGATTTTTTTTGTTGAACCTTACGTTTTTTGGTAGGGACTTTATGAGGTATGATAGGGAGAGTGCGTAAGGGCAAGCTAGCGATGGGGTGAGGCTCGTAAGTGGGTGAGCACATGTTGGCAAGAACAGGTGAAACCAACGCGATCTTGGGAGCGAGCACGAGTGAGGGTGCGTTCTTGCGGGTGCGAGCATTACTGAGAGAGCGAGAGTGGACGCGACCATAGGCATGTGAGCAAGGGCAAACACAAAGCCGCTAGCATGGGGTGCAAGCATAGGGGGTGTGCGGGGAGAGCATGACCCCGAGTTAGGCATGTTAATTTTTGGTTTTAAGGTTGACTCGAGCCTAACCCAAATTTTTAATCGGGTTATAAATTATAACCCAAACCCGACCCATTTTCTAAATAGGTTGAAGCAAATCCAAATTTTTTGCATCAAAATTTTGGATTGGATAAAATATTGACACCCCTACCTTTGACTAAATTGTTTATTCTGCATATAAAATTATAAATAAAATGGCATTGAATAAAAGCTTGATCAAGAGCTTGCCTCACTTTTTTCTCCTAAATCTTCCTTTTTTATTTTAAATGAGGTCAGTCTAAGAGTCATTGTAATACTTATATATATGGTGCATTCATGTAATGCAAAATTTTAACTTTTGAATAATAAAATAATACAGTGGTGAGATTCTTTTGTGAGTTAGTGCTTACTAACATAGCTTGATCTCTCTTTATTTTGATTGGTTATCAATCTAGTAAGTTCTTACTGAACACATTAAAACCTCTTTCAAATATCTCATACATATTACTTCATATCCCAAAACATCATTTAAGACTTATTGTTTACCATCACCTACCTCAAAATCATTAAGTAGCTCCATATCAAACCTAGGTGGACAGTTACTTGGTATAGTTCTTCATGCCACATTAAAACCTTAAACTACACCAAACTCTACCTAACTACTCTAGAATATAAGTTTCATCCTAATTAGGGCTTTAGCGGGATGTTTAATGAGGAATTATTTGCGCGCATATATTGGGAATTAGGGCTTTAGCGGGATGTTAAATGAGGAATTATTTGCATCAATTAAAACTGGTGCAAAAAGTACCGGTTAAAAACCAGTGCTAATTGCACCGGTTAAAATCGGTGCTAAAAGAAATTTTTAGAAGCAGTTCTAAAATCGCTCCTAACAACTGGTGCGAAAATGCTAACTTTCTAGTAGTGCAAGGACTTCGTGCTCGTCTCGAAAAAAATCACAAGATGGGTGACCAACTAAGAAGTTACACCAATAGAAGGAAATTGTTAGGCTATTAAGCCAAACATGCAATACCTAAATAGTTAAGAGTTTGGATTGTTAGCGAATGATATCTTAATACGAATATGAGAACTAATTGCCATAGACAAAATGTTATGCCATAGGAGCCACATTTTAAACTCAATATCGGACAAAGTGCTATATGATGGGAGTCAACATTTGAACTTTTAACCTAGTGGATGATTATGTGATAAGAATACTAATGTGAGGAAGATTGTAAAATTCCTTAAGTAAAAGAAGCTATACTCTTAAACATCGAGACATCTTTTGGCATGATGGTTAAAATTTCATTAAGAAACTCCAAGTTTAAGCATGCTTGTCCTTTTTTTTTTTGGATGTGTGACCTCCTAAAAAGTTACACCAATTTGACAAATCCGTGAGCCATTAGGTTAAAACAGACAATACATCAATAGTTAAGAATTTGAATTATTACACTACATATTTATAATCATATTCATATACACCAATTCTATCAAGATGCCTTTCACAACTATTAATGGACTTGACTTTGTTAAATGATTTCAAGAGCATAATACAATCTATCATATTTGGTGACAACATCAATACATCAAAATAGATATGAATTATGAAAGGTGATTTCTATAATAGATGTAGGAGTTTTGCAAGTGTCAAAACTATCATTAGGAGGGGATTTTTGACCTTCTACCTCAATCTTTTTAGAAAAAGATAAAGACTTGTGAATAATCATTATTTTTTGGAGAAAAAAAGTTTTATTTGAAAAAAGTTTTTACGGGAAAAAAATATGACTAAAAATTAAATAAACAATTATGATGGTGATGATGGATTTTATAATCATTTAGAAAAGAAATAATTAAAATAGATGTTTGGATATGCTAAATTGCAAGGCTTTTAAAATAGGACTGGACCAGCCGGTTCAACCGGTTGAACCGCGAACCGGTCGGCCGGCCTGTTACGGTTCAAGATAAAACCTGTTTCGCTGAAAACCGTCGTCGAATCGCTCGAACTGGCGGTCGGTCCGACTGCCGAACCGGTTCCGATTTTTGATAATCGGACAGTTCGGCTACTGTGCCGATTAGCCAAATCCAATGGCCGAGATTTAGGGGTTGTTTGGTATCGGATTTATCGTGGGATTTAAGTCAGATTTACACTAAATCCAGCCAAACGGTTTTTGTGCTCGCGTTAAATCCCGGGATTCCGTAAATCCCGAAATTAGCTTAAATCCCGAATTTACTAAATCCCTCGGTTCGGTAGATTTAACGGGATTTAACATTATAAGCGCGCGAAAGGGAGAAAGTTACTTCACAGCCAGCGAGCTCCTGTTCTTGCTTCCGATCAAAATTTCGTAACTTCCAATCCGACAAGAAGGGAAAGTCGTCGAAGGAGCGAAGTCGAACAACCACGAAGGAATCGAAGTAGCGACGCACACAATCTGTACACCTCCTGCGAATCAAAGAAGCCGAAGGAGCGAAGTCGAACAGCCACGAAGGAAACGAAGTAGCGACGCGCGCAATCTGTACACCTCCTGCGAATCAACGAAGCCGAACAGCAACGACGAAAAGAAAAGATGAAATACAAAACATAGGCGCCTCAAAGTTATTATCGATTAACTTAATTTATATAATTTAAACAAATAATAATTAAGTTATTTAATTAAATAATTAATAGTATAATTAGTGCATAAATTAATTATCTAATTTAACTTAATTGATTAATTAATGATATAATTAGTAATTAAATATTAATATAATTAGCTTATTTAATATTTCAACTCTCATTTTTGTCCATGTTAGTTTGTAATTAACTTTTTATTGAATTTTTGATCATTTTATATGACCTAAAATTAATTTTATTTTATTTTATGCAATGATCTTAATTTTATAAATATCTCCTTTAAACTTAAATCCCTAACCGCCATAAATCCTGATATATGTTACCAAACAGTTTCTCAGAATTTAACAAGATTTAACATTTAACGTACCAAACAGTTTTTAAGATTTAACACATTTCGAATTTACTAAATTTGAATTTATAGAATTTATTAAATCCCACTGAATTTAAATCCCACTTGTTGCCTAACAGCCCCTTAGGTAGCAGAAGCTTATGCGGTAAATAGGGAAAAAACACTCGGTTCGACTCTTTGGCTTCGACCTTCAACAGACGAAGAAAAAAAAAACCCCTCGTTCGCGACCTGTCTTCTTACACGACGGCGTGCGGAGCGCCGAAACCAACACCGTCTCCGACTCTCCGTTGTTCGTTCTGCTTGTTCGCGAAGCAAGAAGCCAACATCGTCTCCTCGGCGTGCCTGATCGTTCACGAAGCCAAGGCCAAACATTGCGTCATTCTGGTTTGTTTCAGAATCTGAAGGAGTTTTTGAGTTTTTCTTCTTTTTTTTTTTTTCGAAAAACAACTTCCTTACTTGCTTTCGACTTTCATTTTTACATGAAATAAAAAAATTGCTTTCGAGTTTCATTATTCGCGTTCTCTTTGCTTTACATTGCTTTTGACTTTCAAGTTTATGATTTACTACTAAGTTTTCTCATTTCTGATAAAGCCCCTTAATTGAAGAAAAAAATGTGTACATGGCTAGTTGAAGGAGCATCTTGATCTATTTTAGGTTCTTTGTTTACACTTCTGTGGCAAAACATAATAGAAGCTGAAAATAATTTGCCTTGAATCCCCTCATTTACACTTCTGTCTCTTTGCCTGCTGGTTTGTTTCCTTTAAGAGATATTGGAATTGAGTTTGTTACCTGATTCGAATTCGACAGGTTTAAAGGCCAACTATAGTTGGGGATTGGGACTGGAGGGAACTGAGGCCCAAGCCCTAACCTTGTATGTCTTCCTCCAACAATGGCGCATTCTTCCACTACTCGTGATTTTCACTCTTCTCCCATCTCTGCATCCAATGCATCTGATGTCTCCGATAACAATCTCCAGGTACTCCAGTATCTCTTCTTCATTCGTCATTTAAAGTTCCTAGTTTTAAAAATATTTAACATTTCTTTCTTACTTTCAGCATTTCTTTGTTCTCCACAAGGCTCCGGCTCGGAAATGCGAAAGAAAAAGCTCCTCAACATACCGGAGAACGAAAAGAAAGATCGATATGTTGCTTTCTTCTCCAATGAAAGTCGCGCAAGAAGAGAATGATGCTACCTACGAGCAGCTTCGCCTAGAAGCCTTTGAAAATACTTGGTCGAAGATTAATTCTACTGTCAAGGTCAGCTACTCTTCAGTGCATCCCTCTCACTTCATCTTTAATGTTCTTTAATGTCATGCCCCATTTTCAAACCCCTTCTGTGTAATCATGAGGCATAACTGAAGCAGACAATCTCAGCGGACATAATTCTCACCATTCATCCTGATTGAACTCGTTAGAATTGAATGAGTGAAAAGTAGTTTGGCTCTATCGGATCGATAATATTCTATTCTTTGTTTGTTAAAAATATGAATTCAACATACAGGCCAAGCCACAGCTAAAAAAGAAAAAAAAAAGGTGGAAACTTCACAAGGTCATGTGAAGTTTAAATTTTTCGTTAATCAAATGGCTTAACACAGGTTAAGCTTCAAGCCCATTTTAACTTTGCTTATCTTCCATTAGCTTAGATAGGCAATTGAACAAGCCCTTAACTTACACTTACTTTTCTGTAAAGCTAGGAAAGACAGTCTTAGCTTAAAATTGATAATCATGATGAGCAAAATACCATTTTGTGGTGTTTTTTTCAGTTTAAATCCTGTCCCAAATTGTGCTTTAGTGTTTCTACAAGTTTTTATTTTTATATTCCAGGAAGTTTCAAGGGAGATCAACCTTACTTTGTTCGAGGAAATACACCAGTGGGTTTTTGAATCGTTCTCCACCATCAGATCCACTAGTCCTGTTCATATAATGAAGCCATATCCGATAGCAGCAGGGGCCACATGTAAAAGAATACCAGCGGCACTGATCTTTACAAGTAAATTGTATTTGCTGGAATTTTTTATTTTTGATACTGATTTGTGAAGTATAGAATACGATAAATTTGATTAGGTTATGAGAAAGCAATGACTGATTTGTTGATGGATGGACTGAAACTTTGCAGAGAATATTGAGTTTGTTGATGATATGCTGATGTTTCAAGATCTCAAAGGGTATATGCAGTCTAATGGGTGTCATGCAGCTTTTCTCTCAGCATTGGATATCTCCACAAAGTGTGGTATCGGAAGTTGCCTAAGAAGTTTATATAAACAACTTGTTCCAGAGGCTTCAGATGTAAGAGCTTGCGTACATTGCAATGAGCTAATTTCATCAAATATATATGAAGTCAGTTTTCCTCTGTAAGAAAGCAAGAATTGTGATATTTGTTATTTTTATAATTTGTTGTAATTAATAGGTTGTTGATGTACCGTTAATAGCCTCATGGTATTGCAAAGATGAGAATTATGATAAGCCAATTGCTGTTATAATTGAAGACATGGAGCGATGTGATAGTGCAGTCCTGGCTGATTTTATTAAAATGCTAAGGTATGTAGGAATATCTATCCTGATTGAAGCTTTCAAGAGCAGCTATGAGGCAGTTTTATTGTACAAATTCAACTATATATTTTATCCTAGCGATAATTTTGGAATCACAAGGTATACGATATGATTTTTCATCTCGAGTCAGAATTACCTTAAAGTTGTGTTTTACCTTATTAATCTTTTATTCTTGTTGCCTTTAATACATAAAAAATGCACAAGAATGAATTAAATAATACTCTAACTCCTGGTTGAGTTATTCACTATGGTGGAAGCAATTATAGTTCATGCGTCAATTCTGTAATTGTCCTTATCTAAGTTGCTCTGTTGATGTATATGCCATGCTTGCAACAGTACAAGCATTCATTCATAATCACATTCCTGCAACAAGAATTTGAACATGAAATTAATGTGGATCATTATTGGTTAATCTTTATACTCGGAGTATTTTATTTGACTATGCAACATGGTGTTTAGCTTACATTGTCTCTGCTCAATTTAAGTAGTTACGATCCGGATACATATTCGAAATAGGTTAATTAAATGGTCTAATGAAACCAAAAATTTGAAAACAGCAGCAGACTTTATTCGTAGCTCTCCTTTTTATTGAAGGGAGGTATTACTGCTTTATTTGACTCACATTCATCTTCTCTGCTTTGGAATAAACTTTTTTAAATTTCGCTTTGTCAAGTAATAAATTTCATTTTCTTCTAGTCTTTGTACCTAAGATTAAACTTTCTTTTTCTTTTTGGTGTTTCAATTCTCATTAACTAGTATTTTAATCTTGTAAATGTTTAGCTAACATAGATTAAAATATAATTTATATAGTCATGATCAGGATATATGAGTTAATCAACAAATTGATACAACATTTTCCAAACGTTTCCTAACTTATGTACCCTTTGTCAGGTTCTATAAACATGCGCCAGTTGTAGCTGGTGAACCACTCTCATGCCGCTGTTCTCCATACCTATGATCGGGAGCCCCCTCGAGGCTCTTGATTAGGTAGGGAATGGGATAAGAGATTAGCTAATTTTGTTATACATTGGAAATGCTGTTTGAAGCATCCATTTTTATGACCGGGAGCTTCAATTCGGAATGCATTCCTCCAATTATGAAATATTGACACTTCTAGATGCCTTTTATGTCTGTACCAACCATGTGTCAGATGCGGACGCATCTTTGACAAATCTTGATGTGTCAGACACTTTCATAATCGTGTTAGATGCCTTCTATAACTCTCAATATTATGTCATGTTATTGCTATTGTTAGATTTTTGTATCTTTATTGGAGTTGATGTTATCCCATTTGAGGATTTTATCATTCTTAGTCAAACTTTTGTATGCTTCAACTTGGCAGTGGTACTCTTTAAAAATAAATTATACATTCCTTTTTTTGTTTTACAATCCCGTCTCTTGATTAAATTTGTAGTGAATGGGTGATGAAAATTCCAATCATTTTTATACTGGGAGTGACTACTTTTGATGCCCTGAGAAAACTTCTCCCCTCAAGTGTCATGCATAATTTGCAACATTGTAAGTTCATACTGGAATCTCCCTGAAGGAGAATGGATTTTCTAATTGAGTATGTTCTAGTAAGATTATGATACTGTGGGACTAAATTGGTTTGGGCTTTTTCTCTTTTTTTTTTTTCTCTAGAAAATGTGCGATCATCATGGATTTTTTAAATTCTGATTTTGTAGAATTTGAAAGCTGAGAAATTTGATTTTGATTAAGTTTCCGTTACCTCCTTGTCAATACAACAACCAACATTTTCAATTATGTAAGGGCACTTTAACGTTAAACATAGCCTGAATTTATGTTATATTGCCTGGAACTTGGAAGGATATGTTCCCAAACTAAAGAACTAGAACAAATGAAATGAATAAGTTTACTATTTGATACTTTGAAAGTTCTTTATCAATTTGCTTGAGCTTTTATAATTCTCAATATTATGTCGTGTTATTGCTATGTTAGACTTTTTGTATCTTTATTGGAGTTGATGTTATCCCATTTTAGGATTCAATCTGCATAAAGATTTTATCATTCGTAGTCAAACTTTTGTATGCTTCAACTTGTCAGTGGTTCTCTTTAAAAATAAATTTTACATTCCCTTTTCTGCTTTACAACTGTTGATTAAATTTGTAGTGAATGGGTGATGAAAATTCCAATCATTTTCATACTGGGAGTGACTACTTCTTTTGATGCCCTGAGAAAACTTCTCCCGTCAAGTGTCATGCACAACTTGCAGCTTTGTAAGTTCACTCTGGAATCTCCCATAAGGAGAATGGATTCTCTGATTGAGAATATTCTCGTAAGATCATCTTCTGGGTTCTTTATTGGCCACAAGGTTGCATTATTCTTGAGAAACTATTTCCTTAGACATGATGGAACGATAACCTCATTTTTAAAGGCATTGAAGGTAAATGCTCTCAGTCTCTGAGTGTTTTCTCATTCAAACTTGACATTCTTATTGAATGCACTCAGTTAATTGTTTATGAAAAATCATTATGATTGTATTTTTCTGCTGGATCTTGCCTATGTTAAATAGTTGCTTACCTCTGCAGCTTGCTTGCATTAAACACTTTAGTGGGGAACCTTTAAGTTTTTTGTGCCCGGGCATGCTTCATGAAGATTGTGAGGTAATACTAATCTCTACATTACATACTAAATGCAACATGTTCCTAATCTATGTTGACTATATTATTTACATAAAATTAATATCAGCTCTTCTAAGATATAATTATGAGGTATAGCTTTAAATAATGTCCCTCGGCTGGATTTGATGCTATAACGTTGCTTTTTTACAAATTAATGCTTCATCATATTAAGCTTCATCATTCTAGTTAAAATTTAAATTTTAAACTTAAATCTTCTGCTTCACATTCTTTATTCCTTATCTGCCGCCAATATTTCAATGCTAGAGAACCTTTTTGGTCTACGTATTGAAGGAACAATGGCTGAATCTCTTCGTAGCATCCCTTTTCTCAGGACAGTTTGGTTCCAAAATGATAATCTACTTTTGTTGGCTGCTTAAGTCATATAGTTTATTATTCACCTTATTTATATTTCCTTCTGCAGGCTTTTTGTCTGGCAAGTGTATAACTTTAAATGAGTGTTTAACTTGATTTCACCTAATATTTTTCAATACAAGTTCTCTTAGAGCTTGCACTAATTTGGCTTCAACATTCTAATGAAAATCTAATCTTGAGTTCATGTTGATGCTTGGCTTCATATTTCCTTCTGCAGGCTTCATATTTCTTGTGGACACAAAACCCTGCAGTTAATTATACCCCACTCATAAGAGAACACTAAGGAGGTTGCTTAGGGTCATGTTTAATTTTTAGAAGTGAATTTGATTGTGGGACATGATTAGGGTGATGGAGGGAAGACATGATCAAGATCTTATAGTTATGTCATCGTAGGCATGCTAGTAGACCTTATGCTAATGTTAGGATGCTTTGGGCAATAACATTCAAGAACTTTAATATCAACCATTGGTTGCCTCGTCATAGGTATCGTGTGTAGATTATGGTGGAAATGTGTTTAGTATGTGCTTTCGAGGTTGATGTTAACTAGTTTACTTACAAAGGGATGGCCTTACTTTTTTTAATTGAATAATTCAATGACACAAGATATGGTTGATTGCTATTCAGAGGTAATAGACATGCTAACAAGAGCTCAAGGGCATGATATGACCATTAGTCATCCATGAATTTTGGCTTTATTTGAATAAGCATATTTAAGACATGTTGGAATTTTGATTTGTGTGTTTTTCATTCCCTTTTTTTGGATAATGGACCTTTTAGCATGGGAGCTAGCTCGAGTTTTGATTGAATTTGGGCTCACATCTATTTGAAGGCCTATATTAGTTGGGATGGGGCTTCAAACCACTGGAAGTCCAAGGTTTAATTATAATGGGTTTGTTAGTGTCACACATCATGTCTGAAAGGTGATACATTATTTTAACATAAGATACAATGAAGGGATGCACCCCAACTTTTGACATAAACCTAAAAAATCAAAGTCATTTAAAATTGGTTTGTACTCACAAGTGAGAAGTTTATTGTACTAATAATTATAAGCAGAATATATAAAAACAAGCATGAAAAGTAGATAGTATTTTATTTCATCAATAGACTCTATAAAGAGAGTATAGTAAATAAGTAAAAATAATTAATGCAAAAGAAACTAGAAGAAACAATACATAAGCAAAGACTACTCAAACCCAATAGGTATATGAATACATACTAAATCATAAACTCAAAAATATCTATTGAAATAATATTGTTAAAAAAGTAGGCTCCTATGGTTATGGTCCGCCAAGCAACCTAGTAGAATTTGTTATGAGAAAAAATTTACTACGAGTGAGTTTGATGATTTAAACTCAATAAGCAACTCTTATTTATTAAAGCAGAAATGTCAATTTGTGGGGGTATGCAGTAAGAATAATGAAGAGGTAGGATTTAGTATGTAATGACAATATAGTGAATAATATCATATATCTAATTAGAGTAATATTGCATATCATTAGTGAAAGGCTGTCATATGTTTTAATTTAATCTATAATATCGTTATGTTCATGATAATTTATGTGAAAATAGTTCCAATGCAATTTCTATATGAACATATCCATGTACCATCATATTAGGTATACTCATACATATCTAAATATGGCTCATTAGTCATTTACTACCACCTTTATATATATATATATATGGTCGGTTTTACTATGACACTCTGAAATAAAAAAAAGGTCGGTAGTAATCTTATAGAAATTCAATAATTTCTTTATAAACTTGTTGGCCTATCTAGCCAATATCAAAAAAGGTTTTATTGACCTACATACTATTGCAATCAAGCATTCATATTCTAAACATAATAAGCATGTAATCAATATGATTAATACTATCTTCATGATGGGACATGATTTCTAGGAAGAAATTCTTTTATATTTAGTAGAGGCAACAAGTACGAAAATAGAGATTGTTACTACTTGAATCATTTCGATATTCAGAAATTTATTTAGCAATTAATCAAGATAAAGCTATCAGTGCTACTTGATATTTTATTATGAACATTAAAAATCAATCTATAAAAATGTGTACAACAATAATTGAGTATTACATATTGGACTAATAACCTATAAATTATCTAAGAATATAGTATAAATTTCAATGATAACTTCCCTAACAATGAAGGGTAAATTTCTCCTCTAATAAACAAGTCACTTGCCTCCCAGTGACGTCAAATGAAACCCATCTCGAAGGTTCTATATAATTTGTACTTTCAATTAAGTACAAGAGCACAAATGAAAGTATTAACACAAATGCTTTTTGAAATAGATGTAACCTAATCAGTCTAAACCACCTCATAATCCATCAGATTAGTTTTAATCATTGAAAGAATCAAACTACCCTTAAGGATATTAAAATGTAAATTTTTTAAACCCTCTTATCAAAATACAAGAATAAATTTAGGTGCTTGATTAGAAATCTACTCTAAAATAATTTAACCTAATTAATAAATAACAAACCAATAATTAAACTACTATGAATTTAAAGAGAGCTTCTTTCACCAAATCTTGCGAGGAAGATGATGCAATAATGTCTAAAATAATAAAAAAATAATAATTACAAATAGAAGATGAGGACTTGTGATTACCTCTTAGTTGAAGCGGTAGTGAGGAGAAAAGATTTGTTGTTGGTGGTTCTCAGTCGAGGGGGAAAATTGAGGGGGAGGATCGCTGCTAGTTGCTTATCAAAGGAGAAGGTAAGTGGGAAGGCTTGTGCTTTGTTTTTTTATTGATGGGGAAAAAGAAGATGAGGAGTTTTCAACTTATAAAGGTTTGGTGGTTGCAAGGGAGAGACACATGAGCATGTGAGATTGATGCCCTAACATTGATCTTCTTAAAAGATCGAGTAGTGATGGTTGGAGGCTTGTAAAATTTGCATGATAATGATAATCTAATGGAGTAGACTTCACGAAGGAGCACGAGGGTTTCTCATATTTGGTCGGTCATGATATCAATCCAATTCAATTTGAGTTATTACATTTTTCATTATAGTGACCTAAATTTGGACAAGGCTTATATTCATTAGAAGACCCATAAATGACAATTACAACCTCGAGAGGAAGAGAAAAAACCAATGATGGATCTTAAGGTCTTACCCTATAGGTAAGGTGACTTGACTTTTGATATTAGCATGATTTGAATTTGGGGTTTCCTAATTTATTTATGAGTTGTCCTAACAGTTGTGACATACGATCCTGATTTTTTATCTCACACATGGAATTATGGATCAATTATTGGAATCAACCCAAAATTGGGTATTGTAACCTTACCTTGTAGAAAAGGCAACCTACTTGGTTGATCTTACAAAGTAGCTGTATAAGCAGGGTGTCTCTTGGTAGGTTTTACACTCTCGCCCTCATAGATGTCAATGGCGTAAAATAGCGCGCGCCATGGCGCACAGCTCGGTGCGGCGCACATATGACGCTATGTGTATGGCGCGACGCAGACGTTCAAAATAGCGCGCGCTATTTGCGCCACATGTGCGCCATGGCGCACGGCGTAAAATAGCACGCGCCATTATTTAAATTTTTTTAATGTAATTAGAATTTTTTTTATTTTTAAGATTATATATTTTGTAATTTTTAAATATATTAAAAGTGTTAAGATAAATGTTAGATTGTATATTTGTATCTTGTTAATGCTATTTACTTTCATTTAAATATATTTGAGTTGTATGAAGATTGATTACTTATTGGACTTGAAATTTTTAGAGACAGGTTGAAGGATATTCTCATTGGAATTTATTGTATGAAATCATATATTTGAAGGAGAACATGGAAGTTGAAGTGACTTTTTTTGGTGATGGACTTGATATGATTGTGACTGAAGTGATATCTTGATTGGACGTGATAATTTTCTTAGTATGTTAGTTAACTAGTAGATAGTTTTTAGAATGTAAAAGGATATGTTGAGATAGACAAACATTCCACAAAGTATAATAGGGTTATCTGTTTAAATAAATTGCTTGGGTGATTGCTTGAGTAAATTATTTGGATTGTTATTTATTTGTATTGTCATTGTTTGCTTGTTATTATGATCGTTTGTCTTTCAGTCTAATTATATTTCATATTCATCATTATTATTTTATAATTCTTGTAGAATTTACGTCATGTTCAAAATGGCGCGCGTCATGCCTTGTGTTATGCGCCATGGCTCCAATGGGACCTTTGCACCATGGTGCGTCATTCACCGTTAACAAGTATGCTCACCCTATAGGCAAGTCCACCCTTTGTTTACCATTTGGATTCTTAACTTACGATTGATGTTTGGAATGAACTTGATTAGAAGCTTTATAATTTACTACATTTGTAAGACCCTTGGAGGGTTAGAGCTCATAGTCTTAGCTTTTAGTATACTTGCATGTGGGACTTACTACTTAGATATTATAATCGGTCCAAGAGTAGATCTTATAATTTGGTCTTATAGGCGAGGTAACCTAATAGATTTAGGTTTTTTATACAATTGATATTTTGACATGCATGTTGAAGTGTTGACCCCCTAGGATCATTAGATAAATTGGGATATGCTAAGTTTAAACTATTGTCCTTTTCTTGCCCTTTTAATAAA